CATGTCTAGAGAAGAAATGTAGTACAAACAGAGAAGACAACAACAACAACAACAACAACATGGAGTTCAAAGAAGAAAACTACTGAGCCACTGTAGCAGCAGCTCCTGAGTCATGTGAAGATTTATATTCCAGCATCTCAACTCTGTATCTCTCCACATCTTTAACCCCTTTGTCTTGATAAACCTGTAAAAAAGATGGATACAAATTGTAATCAAACACTGGTTTCGTCAATAAAAAGGCGGGTTTCATTTCGATGAATGATTTCGTTACCTGTTTCTCAGATTCGGTGAGATTGCTCCACATGTGTCCTATTTTCTTGGTGATGCTTCGTTCTTGTCCATGGAACTCAGGTTTGAGCCTCGCGTACTGCTCAGCGAAGAAGAAGTTGTAGCCGCTCCTGTGGCATTTGGGCTTCTGAGAGTCAACTTGAGCCAATCTTGATTTCTTCTTATACCGGCGTTGAGATGATGGTACAGTGGCTGGAGATGTTTCCAGGGTTTGTTGAGGCTGACTTGGTGTTTCAGGAATATGGTAAAGCACACCTTTCATCTCTTGAGAACCAATTTTGACCGTCACTAGGTATCCATTATCGAACTTCCCATCAATGAATCCGTCAACCACAAACCCAGCTTGCGGCTCATCAATACCTGCAGGTTCCATCACTTTATCGCAGAGACACACGGCGACAATTTAGTTAGACATACAAGTGGTGAAATCTATGCGGTAATCTTAAACGGAACGAATCAGACAATTTAATTAGACATACAAGTGGTGAAATCTATGCGGTAATCTTAAACGGATAAGGAACGAATCAGAGGAACGACACGTGTATTTATTTGTTTGCAAATTTGACCTAAAAATGGGTTAAAAGATAATACAACCTAGAAGGAATGAAGCATAGAGAGCTTCCTTATTGAGCCATATTTGTAAAAAGTAAATTCATGAATATATAACACGCAAGAATTCTTACGAACCCTAATGCGGAATTAAAACCCCACCCGAAGACATGACATGTTTATAGAGAAGCCGTTATAAATCCATCCAACAGACTACTGAATACAAACATTTCTATAGTCTGATACATGAACAAAGATATGGAGACAAGAAAAACAAAAGCCAAAGAGTAATAGAAACGGTTTTAGTACCTTCCTCAGGGTTTGGTGATGCATTGATAAAGCTCTTCATTGCTTCATCTGGCGAAGAGCGAGAATTTTGGTTTGTCTCACTATGTCATGGAGTAAGGAAAGAAAAGGCAAGAACTTGAGTGTTGAAATATACCTGGTGATTGGATTGAAGAAACAGGTTTTTGAAGGTAATACACATGTTCCATCTGGAAAAGGAACTTGATATAATACTTCCTTAAGACAAACGATGCACTTGTTATTGTTGTCGGGAAATTGAAAGCAGCGATCACTTCTTTCCATTTCCGTTCCTTAATCACCTATAATGAAATACAAAACAGATTTCAATCTTCAATGGAAAGAAAAAAGTCTCCAGACAGGATATGATTAATGGTACCCATGCACTAATACCATTTCGATGCCACCTCGAGATGTAACCTCGACGAAAAGCCGATGCAGATCGAGGGTGTTGCCTCCAACAGTAGGAACCCTTTTACAAAGACATAAATACGTTTCAGTCCAAATTGATAGAAACATCAGTCTTTCAGTGACATGAAAAATTCTAATGGATACAAAAGACAAAACAACACTTAAGCTTGTTCATAAATCATAATTACAATATCGAGATTAGTAAATACCCAATTTCCTTATAATTGTTCAAAAATACATATAAACAAGTAAAGAAAGACGATAAACCCAATTCAACAGGCGATACACATGACATAACGCTCTCCCTGCATCAACGGTGCATCATTACCAAATCACAGTTATGGATTCCATTAAATCCCTAATTGAAATTTTCAACATTTCACTGATCACAAATATAATTCTTCTGCTTCCATCTTAACAAACAAAAGATATAAACCCTACTATGCATTAACCCACACGAATATTAGAGCCAAATACGATCAAAGATTGCATGTATCTCTAGATAAATTCTACAATCACTGAACAACAAATCACCATTAAATCTCATCGGCACGAGAAAACAAAACCTAGTAGGGTTTTCTCTTCAACAATCTAAACAGTCTTATAAACCC